AAAGTGTGCAGATTCTTTGATTTCAGTTACTAAATGTGATTATTTTCTGGTTTCTTAACTCCTCTCTGACATTAAAAACTGAATATCTTTGGATGGTGGACAAAACATCTGAGGACGTCGCCCTGGGTGACTGAACACTGATCAACAGTTTTCACAATTTTCTCACATTTTATGGAGGACAAAACTAAACGATTAATCGGGAATGAAAACAGTCCTGCCAGATTGTTTAAAGCTTTTTTCGAGGACGGTCGCAGCCTAAAATGCCTGATTTCACTGCAGCTTGTCATTTCGTTTTCTCTTTTTTTGAATATATGTCTTCTGGGCTTTTATTTGAAAGTGACAGCTAAAGAGTGACAGGTCGAACCTGTGGCCACTGCAGCAAAGACTCGGTACACGGGACCAGCTCTACCAGGACGCTCCCACGGAACGTTGCAATGATTTTAGGCATTTTTTTGTCAATGAAATTGTGTGAGAATTGCAAACATAGTAGTAGTTTGGTGACGAATGGCTCAAGGTTTTGCTTGGTAGACCGCTTTGATGGGTGAAAGTCATGGTGAAAATAATCCTGCTGCTGTTTGCGAGGTCAAAAAAGGAAACCTGAATGTGAAGGTGGTTTTGTTTCCTGAAGGTCCGTCATTGCTTACATTAATGCCTCTTCCCCTGCAGTGCTCAACCCCAGCTGATGAACACACCTAAGTCATGTTTTAATCAACAACGTTTCATAAAGTTCCCACAAGATTTCCCTGACAGCTGGACAGAAAGCTGGTCTCTCTCCCTCCTCCCCTCCCCCCCCCCCTCCTCTCCTCTGGGTCAAGGATCCAGGTGTGCCTGTATCAGTTCAACACCGCAGCTGAGAGGAAGAGCATTCCTGAGTGATGATGATGCGTTTCCTCTCGGCCCCGCTGTGTGCCTTGACACGCTGCCGCCGCAATTACGGAGCCACATCAAAGGCTGCCTGCCATGACTCAGCACGCAAAAACACACACACACACACACACACACACACACACACCTACCTAGACGCAGAGCATGAACTGTAAACGCACCAACACGCACAGACGAAGACTGATCATTCTCAATGTGTGTGTGTGTGGGCATGGATTAACATTTCTGAACATTGCCTTGAACTGCATGAACCAACACACACACACACACACACACACACACACACACACACACACACACACACACACACACACACACACCTAATGAACCTGCTGGCAGAGGCTAAAAACAAAAGTACACACAGACAGACGGACAAACACAAACACACACAATGGGACATGCTTGAGCGCTTTGAGTGTCAGTTGATCTCCTGTGCTAGCGAGCACACATTCAGCACTGTGGATTTACCACGCACGCACACACACACACACACACACACACACACACACACACACACACACACACACACACACGCACACACAAGCTCTTTCATCTCCGTTCAGCACCACGATAAACAAATGAGTCAGTCGGCGCTCGCACAAAATCCTGACTCATGCTCATGCACACACACACACACACACACACACACACACACACACACACACACACACACACAGAAAGAAGCGACACAGAAAAACGGGGTGATTCAGGGAGGAAGTGAGGGGAGAAGCAGGGAGGAGAGAATATAAGAGAGGACGAGTGGGTGAAAGAGAAAAGGAGATGATCAAAGAGGAAGTGGAAGACTGAAAGTGGAGTCAAAACATCCTCTTCTGATCCGTGCGCGCCGTCTGCGACGCCGACTGTAGACCTAACCTCAGCACTAACCCACACACATCCATGTCTGAACGTTACATGAAGTAACAGAGTGCTCTTCTGTGTGTGAGCGTCAGTTACCATGTAAACACATCATTACTGCCTTTAAAGCTGCAGCAAATAATAATAATCACTAATATTCAAAACACACACTAAACATTGCTTTAAACTTTAAACGAATGAGATATTTACCTTTTTATATTTTATACATTCATATTTTATTACATGAAAATTTGGACAAAAGTCTGAAATAAAAGCAGAAAAATTATAAAATATGAGTAAGTACCTTTTATTTGTTTAGTATAAGAAGTAGGCCTTTTCATGTGGTAATTTTATATAAACTGTTTATTCAGTGACTTTACAGAAAATGTACTATATTGTGTATGTATCATTATCTGGATATGACATAACCTATTTCGGTATAAGAGAATTTGGTCATATCACACAGATATATTTAATTTATATTTAAAGATTTGCTTGAATCTTATTATGTATACGATTATATTTTCATTTACAACACAAGGAGGTTTAATTCAATTTAGATAATAGTTCCCTTTATGCAAAACAAAATAGAAATTGATTAATAAGTCATAAAAATACAAGTAAATTAATTTAAATTATAACTATTTTGCTGAGGATACATTTAGCAGTCTATGGGGTTTTTAAACTGTTGGTCAAAACAAACAGGAAATTATAAGACATTACTTTGGTCCATATTTCTGTTGGGAATTAGTTTTGACCAATTTAATTAGTTTTAATAATAATAAAAAGATTAAATCCACAGTTTACAGTGAAGTACAGTCTGTCTACTTGAGAATGTACTGCCATAAGTGAAAGGAGTAAGATAAACAGCCTGCATAAATACCTTGTATTCTTAAAACAAATAAAGAAAAACTACAAGAAACTTAAAAAATAAATAAAATCAAAATCTCCAGGCATAGAAGAAGCACATTAATGAGTAATATAAGTTATTATACTTTAATATAAACACACTTATACACTCAACAGCTTAAAATCTGTCTTAAAAAGTGTTTTTCAGAGCGTGTTACTGAGAGTCTAAATGATTTTAGGAAACATTACACCGCTATTTAAAGTTGACTGATGCACCACTAGTTCAGGCAGCAACTACTGAAACTCTCAGCTACCGCAGCAAGTTAAACCACTGTTTGCACCAAGTGTGAAAATCAACAATTTCAATGCAACACAAGTCAACTTAAAATAAAAAAGGTGTCACTTCCTAAAGTTCTGGTACAGTCAGTCACAGAACTGCACGACGTGGCCAAGTTATAAACTCAACAAAACAACTTACTACAGCTGAAACTGTTAGTTGATTCATCAGGCTTCCCGATCTTTAAGAAATCATTTACCAGGACCTTTCCAGGGGTTTTCTTGGAAACACTTGCTCACAAATTTACTGATAGTTTACACATTTGCAGGGTTTATGATGAAGTGTTGATGACTACGGGTAGGTGGTTTACGGGACGCTCTGCGTCAGCTCGCTGTCTGTCCGTTTCTGGTGATGTGACCACAGTTTACTACAATTTCCCTCAAACTTAAGTTTACGTAGACAATCAGAGAAAGGGGCTAAAATACAATAAATAGTTTCCAGGGACAACATAGATTATTTCTGGGATATTTGGTCATTTCAGAGGTGTTTCCACGATTGGAAAATAAGTTGCGATGTGTGGGAACCCTGTTAATCCAACTATTTTGATAAAAAACCTATTGCTTCAGTCATTTTTCAATCAAAGATGACAAACATTTGCTGGTAACGGCTTCTCAACTGTGAGGAACTGCTGCATTTAGTCATATTTAAACATATTTAAACTAAAATATTTGAACTCCAACCTACCACGCACAAACCTTTTGCACTATTTATATTTAATTTCCACATGTACACTTTAGTTTTAGTCAAGTTTAACTTTCTGCTCATATATTTGCACACCATTCCTACTTGAACAATGCATAGTGTACATACTTTCATTTATAGTTTTATATCTATTATATTTTATTTTGTGATATTTTTTGTACTCTACTACTTTGCCCTATTGCTGCTGTATCAATCTAAATTTCTCCTAAGGGGGATCAATAAAGGAATATCTTATCTTATTTGACAGTAAATAAAACATTTTGTGGTTTTTGGATTGTTTGAAAGTCACCTGAAGTTCAAGGGAAACTGTGTTTTTTTTCTGACACATTACAGACTTAATGATTAACTAAGAAAATGATGTATCTGCTGATTAACTGATGATAAAAACACTTCCAGCCCTACAAATTATGGTCTCAAATCATGACTACTGACAACACCATGGGCCTCACTGAACTACTGCCAGGTTACAGCGCTGTAAGGAGTCTCGTGTGTTTTGCCATCATGCTAACCGCTCCTGCTGGCACTACACTCACCCATGTTTTGTAGACATAAATATCTTTTTTCAAAAGATGTAGAAAAGTGTCTCAAGTAACAGCCGCACAGCAGACAAAAGGGGCTGCGAACACACCAACACCCACACTGCACACATGCTGACACAAAGAAAAACAGCGGCACGTGCACAGACAGGCACAGAGAGACTCCACCAGCTACACAGACAGGAAGTCGGGGCCCTTTTTTTGGGTGATTCAGTCCACACTTGACCTCAGATAAACCTCAGTTCATTCAGCGAGCTACTTGTCTACCAGTCTGCTTGCACACAACACACACGCAGAGCTCGAGATGAACCGCGTATTGGTGCCACTTCCTGTACCCAGCACTGTTATAGCCTAGACTTCAAGCTCCCTGGACAGATGCCTTCAAAGACAACGGCTGGCTGCTCAAAGCGCCTTGAACGCAGCCTTGTCAAGATCACAGAGACTTGATCCGAAATAGATTCACTAGCGGAGCTGCAAATTGATATAATGCGACTAATAATAGCATACAGCACTTAGGGTTATTTTGGATTTCGGCGAGGAATAAATATCCCTAACACTTGTTCTCTTTTACTCACACATGAAAGCTCATTCTCACGCACAAAGCAACAAAAAAAAAAACCACAACTACTATGTTTTTGCATACGCTGGCTGGCTGCTGTGGCTGCGTAAACTCCAGAAACCCAATGAAAGATTTTTAAAATATAATTATGAAAGCACAAGAGCCTTTAAAACAACGTCTGTCAGAGGAGACAAACAAAATTTAGCATCTTTTGGTTGCGAGTTTCCCCGACCTGACACATATAAACACACGGACGAAAAGCTTCTGTCTTACTCACCCTTGGTTGTCGTGGTGACTCCGTCAGATTTGGTGAAGTCTATACTGGCATAGGCTCCGTTCTCCGGCAGAGGAACCGTCCCCGCCGCCGCCGAGCTTCCGTTACTGCTACCGGCCCCCGACGCCATGGCTCCTGTGTTACTCCCGTCCTCCCTCAGCTCCAAGGCAATGTAGTTCAGGCCGTTCTGGTAGCCCACAGACATGTTCCTACACATTCTACCTGCTCCGGCGCCCGAGGAGGAGGACGCCGAGGACCCGGAGGCCGTGCCCATTTCCATGGCTCTTACTGGAGCGTGGTGCGCCGGCGAGTCCCCCAGACCCTCCAAAGACACCCAAACACTGTCAAAAGACGCCGAGCTGGCCCATCTGGAAGCCTGACCCTCCGTTAGGTAAGATCCGTTGGGGGCCGTGGGGTTGACCAGTGTGGGGGGGGCGGCTGAGGATGAGGGGCCGAGGGCTGCTCCAGAGGGAGTTGAATTGGAGGAGGATGTGGAGGAGAATGTCTCCGAGCTGTGTCTCCTCCTGCCTTGGGGGTCGGCCCGAACCACCTTGGGCTCCGGCTGGTGCGTCGGCGCCCTGCCCGGGCTCGACGGAGGGAGGGGAGGAGAAATGGATGAGGAGGAGGCGGAGGGAGCGTGGCCATATCGTCCCTCTATCACACAGAGATGCTGCAGCATGGCTGTGGGGCTCGTTTGCGTCCTGTCACCTCTGCTGAGGTTAAAGGTCATGTCCGTGTAGTCGTCACCCATCGACCTCCAGTGACCTCCGGCAGGGACTCCAGGGGAGGCCAGCGCCGCAGGATTGCTAGCCAGGGGTCGAATATAGCTGGGTGGGTTCCAGGGGGCGACAAGGCTGGGTCTGGGAGACTGGTTCTTACCCAGACATCCAGCACTGTCCTGCTGGTCGGCCCCCACCTCCACACTCATATAGTCCTGGTGAGTTTGGGGCTGGGGAGGGGAGCGACAGTGGTCACTGGATCCCAGGGAAGGCGCTTCGTCTTGGGTAGAAAGTGGATAGGCGGGGGGCTGCTGTTGGTGGGGGTAGTGATCGCCAAACTCAATGTTAATATACTCTCCGGGGCTGGAAGGCCCCTCAGATGAGCTGACCGTGGCGGGGACTGAGGTGGAGGTGCCTGCAGACGCTGTGGAGGGCTCACTAACCCGCAGCGGGCCGTGGAAACTTCTTCGGCCTAAAGGGAGGCGGTTGGGCCTCACGACTCGTCGGTCCGCCATCGCTGCGGTCGTGTGGTGGGCTCCGTAAGGCGGGGGTGGGTGAGAGGGAGTGGAGGTGCTACTACCTCCCCCACCCCTCTTCTCTGGTGTTAACATGGAAGCTGTGGCAACTGATGAATATACTGGCTTGGCAGGAGAACTCATAGGAACATACTCTCCGTACTCTCTCTCATCCCTCTCTCTGGTGGGGGCCTTGTAGGAGCGAGGGAGGGAGAAATAAGGACTGTAAGACTTTGGGGTGCCCTCAGGTGTACCAGGTGCGTAATACCCACCGCTCCCTTCGTTGGAGAGCTTGCGCCCCCCACTGCTGCTGTATGACATGTCCATATACTCCCCGTTCTCTGGTCTCTCTGCTATGCTCTCACTCCCGCTGGCACCTGCCATGCTGGAGCTACTGTGAGGGCTGGGGGAGGCCTGCCCGGGAGAAGGGGAGCTGCCACTGCCCCCTGGGAGCATCATCATGTAGCCGTGGGCGTCTGTGGAGGATTGGGACTGGAGCTGGGGGTGGTGGTGGGCTGAACGGGACCCTAAAGCTGGACTGTGAAACTGAGGAGAATGGGAGATGGGATGGGAGTAAGAGCTGGGTTGCATAGGCATGTAGTCGGGAGGAGTGTCCCGCGGCGAGGCGGCCACGCCACACATCATGGGCATGTAGCCGCTGTCTTCCTTGGCAGAGGAGGAGGAGGAGGAGGAGAGGGGCGGGCGCTCAGCACCGGCCTCCGTCCGGGAGAGCGTGGAGGGACGGCTCTGCTGGCTGTGCTCGGAGCAGGAGCTGTAGTCAGAGCGCAGCGAGGAAGAGGAGGAGGACGGCCCGCCACGGAGCAGCCCGCTGCCAAATGGCAACACGACATCTGACCCCTCCTCCAATGAGAAGTTGGTCTGGGTCATTTTCTGATAAACCGCCACTCCAGAGCCGCCGGTTGCGCCACCGGCTGGTCTGGAGAAAGAGTGAGTCCTCCTCCTCAGTGACGACGATGATGAAGACAAGCGTTCGTCCTCTGTCGTCGACGTGCTCTCGTCCCGCGGCGTGTCACCTCCGCTGTTGTTTCCAGAGCCCCCGCCGGTGCCGAAGACCTCCCTGTTCCAGCCCATGGCCATGTAATCGTTTAGACAGTTCTCCTCTCTGATTGGTGGGGTGTTGCCGAGAGAGTCCGGTGTGTTACTCCGCACCCGGAAGTACCGGAAGTCACCAGGACTGGAGCCATACTCGTCTGAGGAGTTGAAGCCTCCGTCAGACGGCGAGCCACATATCGAGGCGCTCGATGGCCGGGTGAGAGTGTCGGAGACGGAGCCGTGGCCGCTGCTGGAGGAGACGCTCACCGGACTGGTGGTGGAGGGGAAGTGGGACACTGGCAGCGAGGCGGAGCGGGCGTGGTAGGTGGACGACGACCCTTGGATGGCTCTGACGTAGCGTCCGGTGCCGGTGCTCGTGCCGGCGTTTCCCGTGGCGACTCCACTCCCACTGCTGCTGCCACCACCTTCCTGACGACCATGATGGGCGCGTGCGGAGTTCAGGTGAACCAGACTTCCTGTGGCGGAGCGGAAAGGCCGGTTCATCGTCCCCTCGCCCTCGCTGGATGTTCGAAAGCGATAACCACTCGCCCCAGAGCTCTTACTTGACGGCGGCGTGCCCACGACTGACTCTGTCCTCGACCGCCGCTGCAGCCCCGTCTGGCTGGGTGGCAAGTTGCCCAGGTGGCGCCGCGTTGTGATGAACGGCATTGGGTTGGAGCCCGACGACTGGCTCTTACTCCTGGGCCGAAACTCTGCGAAAGCTTTGAGGGCTTTCATCGTCTCCAGGATGGTCTCGTGCATGTTTTGGGCCACGACGGAATCGTCCACCTGCATCCAAATCTCCCCGGGCCCGATAGAGGAGGAGCGACCCACCTCGATGAAGAAGAAGCTTTCAGAATGTCCGCAGCGTCTGATGTTCATCAGCTGAAGGTTAACACAGGGCGTTTCAGAGTTCAACTTAACGAGGTGAATGGTTTTAGTCGAGAGGCATAGCCGGTAAACACCTGTGAGGTTTTTAGTTTGACCCAGTCCTTTAGGTTTCACATTCACCTGCCACACCTCTTTGAACACGGTACCGGGGGTGACGGTACCGTATCCATCATCTAAATCATCTGAATCCAAATGCCCTTTTTTGCCCTCACTCATCAACTCACTCACAGCTATGTACCAGTCCTCTTGCTCCTGCTCGTTTTCCGCCACAATGGCAAAGTACTCGTCCTTAGTATAAAGGGCAATGAGGTGTTTGTTTTTGGAATCCGCCCTTTTGTTTACCGTGAAGCACTGGTAGAGGTAAATAACCCTCTTCGGGGGAGAAGGGGCGACCGCTCCACCGCTGGCGGCGGAGCGCAGGCTGTTCCTGAATTTCTTCTCGCTGTCGTAGTACTCCAGGCGGCTCGGCCCGAGGTGGCTGGCAGCCCGGAGCACGAAAAACCTCTTGTGTCCGTGTTTCTGCTTCCTCAAATAGCCACATTTACGAATATCATCCACAGCGTCCGAGGCGTTGGCGACGCTCACCGCCGCGTATACATGGCTGCCGCTGCCGCTGCTGCCGGCGGAGGAAGCGGCGGCGGCGGCGGAGGAAGCGGCGGGGTCCTCGGCGGCGTGTACCTGGCTGAGAGACGAGGAGGAGGAGGCTTTCCTGCCCGGAGACTCCGCGATGTTTTCTCCGGAAAGATGCTGCGGAGCCAGCTGGTAGTGATGCTGCTGTTGTTGATCCTTTGGCGGGTGATGGTGGCTGAGGTGTTGATGGTTGGAGGGCGGTAAATGTTGATGGAAACGAGAACCGCCGCCGCCGCCGCCGCCGCTGATATTAATTAACGGGGAAGGGGGTTCCCCGACCGAGCCGTCTCCGTTCGCGGTGGATTTCGTCCCCACGTCCCTCTGCTGCGTCTCCACCATCAACATCGCTGCCTTTCCTTCCTGGTAATTCGTGAAATTTGCCATCAGAGAAACACAATCAAAGGTCACTTCACTAGCAAGCTAATCCGAGTGGACCTAGACCCCATTCTTGTTGTGGGAGACGAGCTCCGGAGTCCGGCTAGGCCAGCTAACGTTGACTCGGCTCAGATTTTTTTTTTTTTTTTTTTTGCAATCCTCGCGGACCGGCTTTTGTTGTTCCGCGTTAAATAAAAAACAAAGTCCCTCCGCCGTTTGTAGCAGCGAGGCCGGCACTCCGATGTGGGCTCTTTTTTTTTTTTCCCCTTCACGAAATGAAGCCTACCGTGTGCAACATGACCACGTTCGAGTCCCTGTTTTCTATAATCGGGAGGCTCCGGCTAGCTCGGTTAGCAATCCGTTCCCTTCTCCTGCTGTACACATCTCTACGGGCCAGAGCACAAACAACACATGACCCTCTGCGTCACCCGCCGAACGGGAGGAACAAAGGGCCGACGGCGCGCTCCGATTGGTCCGTCACTTTGACTGACAGGCGTTGACAGGCGTTCCAGCCAATCGCTGCGGGATGTTAGTGCCTTGCGTCAATAAGCGGCGGCCAATCACGTCGCGCAGAGTTTAACCGAAGTTAAAAAAAATAAAAAATAAATAAATAATAGGCGGTGACTTTTTGTAACGGCTGATCTGGAGTCGGTTGTTAGAGGTGGGGGGGTTTACAACGGTTGTTTAAGGGGGGGGAAACTGATCCCGGGTCTGTAGACAAGCCGACTCTTTTGACTTGGGTCAAGTTTTAAGATTTTTTTCGGTTATTTATTTTAAAGGAATCAAATCTTATTTAATTATTAAATAATACAAAATAAAACGTAATTAAAATATTATTATTATTATTTTTTTTACTTTCAATGTTTTCTTATATAAACCTGCCAGGGACATGTGCTGCTATTTTTGCCATGCATTTCTATTTTTCTTTATCTTCCTCATCATGACTCGTGTATAAAATCAGGCTATTATTGATGTATGATTCATGCATGAGGGTGATTCATCGCTATTTCTGATAAAGATTCTTGCCCTCGCCATCGAAGCGTGGTGGCGTAGCATCCTAAACACTCAAAGATAAAATAAACTTTCTTAGAGCCACTCAGTCTTCATGCCAAATAGACATTATTTATTTCATTATTTGCACGCCGGTGAAAGATTATGACTCTCTTTGATTAGAAAACGTATTCAAAAATATATGTAAGTCACTACTCAAAATGTCAAGAATACACATAAAAATATATATTTTTACGGACTGCAGGTGAAAATTAGAATGTGTGGCTAAATCTGGCACATTTATGGACTCACATTAATTAATGTGCATTGTCCCTCCTTAAATAAATAAACAAACTAATACATGGGGACATGAGTAAAAGAGATGTATAAAATAAAGTAGACGTTTCTAGTTGAATGCAAGTTTTTTATTTTACTTTATAAAAAGTTATAGTCTGAACATATTGTACTTCTAAGTAAGTTGAACTCAAGGGTTTTGTGTATTTGCTTTGTAGCTTTTCACCTCTTCATCAAACACTATATCCTCTCTTCTACCCTCTTTTCTCTCCTGTAGATTAAAAGCTTCTTTAGATCTTTTAACCCTAAGGATACAAACAGCTCCCCCGAACGTTGGACCTCTTGTCTGCAGGGCCCTGAGGTTTACTAAAACACATTTCTGCTCCAGTCATGTGAGAACCCACTGGTGAATTTGGGTGCTGGCCAACCACAGTGTCAGCAAGGGTCAAGCCAGCTGAGGTGACCTCACACGGCCTGCATCCATCCTCTTTGGCTAAAACCAAACCCCCCCCCCCGCTTTGGCACAAGGGATGGATTCAGATCAAAATCCAGGTTTGTTTACACCCTGCCATCTACGGGCATCTGCCACCCAACAGGACTCCCTCTTATTTCCAAGCGTGATATTAAGTTTTTTTAAACTTCGTGTGTCACTAAACACTAATTAAGAGAGCATGCATGTGCGACAGCCGAGATTCAAGCCCCAGCTGTGTTTTCCATGGGAACCTAGATGGAGTAATTGAGGAGGACTCCCCCCTCTGCCCAGGGGAGGTATCTATGTTCTTCCACGCCTCGGAGAATGCCACGCTCGGCTTCCCGAGCCTCTACTACATGTCGCATGCAACAATTTGCTGGACCCTTTTATCCCAAACACCTTTCCGTATCATGAGTGGGATCATGTGTAGTGCAGCTGGCCCCAGTGGGAATCATACCCTTCACCCTGGCAGAGTTTGTGCCATGTTTTACTAGTGGAGATATGCAGGAACCACCTGTCTGTGTCTGCCTCTGAATCTGTCCCCTTAAAGGTGAAAAACAATCAGTCGTTGCACATTTGATCCACCACAAACGGTATATTCTCTCCAACTCTTATAATTATACCCTTGTTTTACAATTATACATTGTTATATGAAAGGAATAACTTTTGGGGGAAATATGTTTTCTTGCAGGAGTTACATGAGAAAGAGAGTTTAAATTTAGTTAGTGGGACAAAACAATCCCTCAATTGGCTCATATTTAGCCTACATGTTTTATCGTAACCTACCCAAACGACTGAATAAGTTGATTGCCAATGACTCCTAAAACAATTTATGACCATTCCCAAACATGTTGGAGAGTACCAGTGACAGACGTACTGGACCTTTGACCTTTGTTGTACCGGACCTCCGTGGTCACTGGTCAACACAGTTGCATCTTTGTTAAGTCTAAGCACAACAAAACTACTTGGTTAGGTTTAGAAAAAAGTTCATGGTTTGGATTACAATAAGTACATATTACGTAACTTAAGTCAGGCCATGTATGTGACCTAAGGTAAGTAAGTGATATAATAGGTAAACATGAACTTTTGGTTTGATACAGGACAAGAACAGCAGCCTCTAATGAAAGCCTGGGTTAACTAGTTTAGCTTTAGCTTATATCCAGACAACTCTTAACATCTCAGACACATCCGCAAGTTGGTCAGCTGTTCCAGTAAGCTGGTTTTGTGCTCATTGGTGGTTATTTCAGCGGACTGAAGAAACAGTCGATCAATCATAGACAGGATTAAGAATGGAGACGCCATCTTCCTAAAAAAGAGACTGAAAATAACTGCGCCCAACATTGCTTATTTGGGGGCTTCTTATGTGAACATATATTAAATTAATTAGCTTTATTGGCTGCAAAAAGGTGAAAACTGTTATCAAAGCATCGTCCTTTGACCCTCCTCCATTAGCCTCTCTCGCTCTCTTTCTCTCTCTCTCTCACTCTTTCACCTCTTTAACCTTCTGTTACGGAAAAAATGGACAGCATTGTGACAGCCGGAATACCAGCCTCCAATCTCTCCCACAATGACGACTAGCTACCAGTCGAGCCGACAGGCAACCCAACTCTCCCACGGGGAAGTATCAGCTGCTTTTCAAAGGAAGCCCGGTTCTGATAACCTCCGTCTGGCGTGAGACCAGTCAGACCCACGAAAGCCCCTCAACCTTTCATCCTTTCATGTGCTAACTCAGCTGCTGTAAAAAAAAGAACAACAACAACAACCGAATGTATCTCGACCTCTCACCCTCTTTTTGTCTCGTTTTTTAATATTAAAGGAGGATTTTTAGATTCTGCTCGTACATGAAGTTCTTCGGCATCTCAAATTCTGTTGCTTAAGGTTGAAATATTATTTATTTATTTATATATTTTACTGTTACAGTCACACCACCATGCGTCACTGCTGAGTAATCTTCCAAATAATAGGCGTGGTTGAGTCAAGCACTACACTTTTGAGTAAAACAAGCTGTTTTGGGATGATTTCATGATAATTTAGACCCTGATTTCATCCATCTAAGAGTGCTGTGTGACTGTGCAGGCTTCACATTAAGAGACTGTGCATGTTCAAGTGTGTGTTTGCATGTGTTTAAGTGTGTGCGTCAGACCCAGTGTCAGTCAAACGAGGAAACCAGCTTGAAGGCTTAATGATGCAAATTTTGCCCTCAGGTCATTTATTTGGTTGATGTGCTTTGGGCAATGATTGACGTCAGTTGTCTGAGTCTGTAGACACGCAGGAAGGAAGTTTACTGTAATGTGTATTCATTTATTCACAAACAGCCTGTGTGTAAACTTTAGCTGATTTAGGGTTTGATATAATAAGACGGGAGGAAGAATGTGTAATTTTTCTTTCTATCTGGTTTTAATTTAAAAGACCTAAACATGCCAGACCATCAGCAGCTTTTTATATAAAGTTATTCTTAATGGATTCCCCTTGAAATCAATGAAAGAAGTCGGTGGAAGCACTATCGCTTTTGTCCACAGGGGCCGCCAGAATCATCACAAATTTAAAGTTCCTTATTGGTGATTAAAGCAACATAAAATAACAGTTGCAGGTTAACAAAGTTTGGTTATATTACATTGAAATGAATTAGTTTGTTGCTTCAATATGTGTATTCTAATATAAATACTACTTGATATACTTCTCACTATACCACAATTTAAGACAAAGCTAACACAACATGTTATTTTAATTAAATTTCAAGCACAACAAAGGTCTCTTTTCTCTAAGTTTCTCATAATGTATTTGTGTTTTATTGCTTTAAAGCTGTATAGACTCATACATATGTATTGTTATGTGGTGTGTGCTAATTTAATCTAAATCCTTCGGGGAATAATCTACACTATAAAGTCAGAGTATGAGGAATGGGGTGTTAATTGGGTGTTAATTTTGCCCTGCGGCCCTCTAGCAGGCTCATATAGAATAAAATTGTGATTAATTGTAGATTATAATTTGCTGCTTGTGTCATTTATCTAGTTAATGCCTCCTTTTTTCTACCATCTTTATGCCCCATCTCATGATTTAACTTGAATCTCAATACCCTCCTCTCGCCTCTCTTCTCCCTGACAGTTACCAGGTCAGAGCGCCCTCTGCTGGCCAGGACGGTTCCCTACAGTAAATCTTCTGCTGCTATTGTACTTGCAACAAAGGAGCAGAGCCAACAAAGCTGAAACACACACACACAGGAAACACAAAGGAAAGCATGCTTCCCTTTGTTACAGACTCAGTCTGTTATTTCAGAACAAGCACAGTTGCGATACTGCTGCTGCTGTTGACAATGCAATTTAAACAGACTGACAGGATATTTATACAACTGAACTGATTCATACGTATCAATCTAAGTTTGACGTGGATTGTAGTATATTTTCTGAAGGTATAACAAGTATTTGTGATGTATTTTATGCATTCAGAAGTAGTTGTGGTAAGCTGAAACCACTGAAGTTGTAATGTGGGACTTAAACGGCAGTTTTCTTACAGTAAATGTATTTAAAATTTAAACTTTCCATCAATTTAGGGATTATTTTGGCTGAAGAAACATGTTCTTTCCTCTCTCCGTGATAGAGAGTTCAAAACAAATACATAAGAAATATATTAAAAGTGTGGATTTAACACTGTAATATTTTAGTATTGTGCAAAAAAACAAATAAACTTTGCAGTCTATTGTTGGATAAATCACCAGCAAATATTGGACCAAACAAAAAAGAGAGACAATGAAAATGTTCAAAATGCTTCCTTGTTTTTGGTTTTGGGCATATTTCTTATTGCTCATATACTTTTATTGCTT